AAAATAGGCCCGAACGCACTATAAAACGCACGAACAACTCAGACCAAGAATCATTAGGATGTGGATCGGCAAGAAAACGCGCCGGGTTTTTTTATGCGAAATTCGCGCGAAACCTCAGTTTCAGTAGGGCGAAGCGGAGAAAATGACGCTGTCATAAACGCGACCGTTACCTAGTAGTAGTAGTAGTAGTAGTATCAGTAGTAGCAGTAATGGTACTTTTGCGTTGCTTCTGGTGAGGGTGCGGCGGCTGTTTTTTCTCGAAATCCTCAGCAATGGTGTGGCTCACAAATATAGGCCTTCAAAAGCCTTTTCAAAATGTCCGGGGGGGCGGGGGTTGCAGGTCCGCAGAGGTTTGCGACCTTTGTTTTGGAACAGCGCGATCTCGTCCAAAAACGAGGGGTCAACTGATCCATACAGCCTCGTTTATGCGATTGCTGATGGGCCTGCTGTGGTGATACGCGTTGTGATGCTGTCATCATCAGTAGTGTGTGTTAATCCAAAGTTTGTGTCGGTGGATCCTGCATAGGAGCAATGTTCTCATCATGACAGTACGGTTGATATTCCTGTCCAGGAAACGGCAAGGAAAACGACTTTCATTGGACTAAATCTTTGATGACAAGACCTGTGTTTGTCACCAAGGACAACGGCGACGGGCAGATTACGCTCCAGGAATTTATTGAGGGAACCATGGCGTGTTCGGTAATTACATCTTTTTGAGTTGGGTTTAGTCGAGCTGTGGTTCCCTTCAAAGGAACGCCGATATTGCCGTGCAAAGTTTCTAGGCAGTTTATGGGGAACGAGAAGAGGAATCCCCCAAGAGAAAAGGCTCTCCTCGGCTCTCCGTATTCGAAACGCCCGCAAACGAATGTTCGCCAAGCAAGTCAGCTTTTAGACCATATGACTTGCGAGATGCATGTTGCCAAACAGGCTCAGCACGATTCCGGGGAGGAGCGAAGGCGCTGGACATATGGCGCTTGGAGACCAAAGTGGAAGTTCTTTTTGAGGAGAATGGGCTGGGGCATTGGGTTTGAAAGTTTGGCGGCTTTGAGTCCTGTGTAAATTGACAACGGAGAGCAAATCGTGCTTCAATATTTGCGAACTTGATAGCCAGGTTGAATTTCCCCATGGTTTCCTCATAGGGTCCTGTATGTAACGCGTATGAAGAGTTGGTTTTCAAGGCTATGAACCCTAGCAACTACGTACAATCCAAAGAGCTCTTCGCAGCATGCACCGTGAAGTCCACTAGGAAGTGCCTTGCATACATACTTACCAAGAGCATGCATGTGCGACAGGCACAAAACCCGTTTCCTTCAACTTAACATGAAATACAGGCTTCCAAACAGGGAATGCAGCAAGGTTTTTTCAAATTTCGGCAGGAATAAATCGTAAGCGCTGTCTCCAGGATTGTTACTCATCTGTTATATGCAATGCTGGGGAGGACAAAGTTGCTACGCATGTTGTGAGGAAAGCAGGCATTCGCAGCAAGTTAAATTTGGGCGTGGCATTAAGAATCACATCCACTCATTAAGGAAAGTGTGTTCCCGGAAGTCGCTACTCATCCCCAAGTCGCTCACAGTGGGGCATGGGAGCTTTTAGCAGGCTGGTGTTGTTACAGGTCAGAAAAGAAATTGGAGTGTCAGTCAGTCTTGTTGTTATGTCATTCCTGGCTTTGGCCACGAGGAAAATTGTGCTGCTGCGATATTGCAATGGTGCCGTTGTGACATAGAGAAATCATCACTTCTCAGGAGATGCTGAACTTGATGCACACCAATGATTCCGAAGTATCATCCTATGTACAGCGTGCGTTTAACGAGTCGGCCTATTCTCATATCAAGAGCGCGTTGCGCAAGGACACCCCATAGATCGAGACGCCTTTTCCTGCGGCACACTGCGCGGGCAACACCTGCAGTGCGCATCAGAGGGCTCATGCATTGAAAAGTGCATTTGACCTTCTGGGCTGGATCGAGGAGAGTTTTGATTCGTGTCATGGGCTTGGCAAAAGGAGGCCAGGGTGCTCATAGCTGGGTAGTTTCCCAAGATGGGGTAACCCTACTAGACCCCAAAATGGTATAATCCTTCTTATGGGGACCCGCAAGAAGGTACCCCTAATTTTGGGAAACTTCCAGATGGGTAGCCCCTCCGAGTCTCCCGCCACCCTGTTGTTCCCTGCTGTAGGCATGTTTCAGACAGGTTGGTGTTCTGAGAGGTCTGATTACTACATATAGTCCGCCTTCAGTAGATAGAATATGGCTTTGGGTATTTTATATTAAGATCCCCATATACCCCATATTCTATCTACTTAAGGGGGACTATACCCAAGGTATCCCCAAGTATGCTTCCGAAACATTCCGTTAGATACATATTCTCATCCAGGCCACTAGGCCGGAAAAAGACAACAGACCGCCGTTTATATTATAATATACAATAATATACTATAGTATGCTATAAAAGGTATACTAGCATATGCTATAATATACTATAATATACTTGTCGATCTTTGTAGAGCAGCAGGCTTGCAGGGTTCTGGCCCGAAGTAATTCACCCTAGAACAGCTCGCGTCGGCCAGAGTCCGTGCGCTAGCTAGGGCAAAGTGCTGGCAGCATGCTCACTGCCCTAAGGGCTGAGGTCAAGTAGAACAAGTCAGAGTATGTTCTGTACAGGTGCTGCTGCGAGAGCGGAGTGCCTTTATGGGAGTTTTCAAGAATCCGGGGACCGCAATATAGACCCCAAAATACTACGCAGTAATACTTATTCAACGGACTCCCCAGAGAGGAAGAGGACCCCTAATCATTGGAACCTCCCGTAAAGGTACACGAGCCCTTGGGGTTTGGGCATGGCAGAGCCCAGATTCATCTTGATGTTTTGGTGCATACATCCGGTACAGTCCGAACATGCAGGGTTGGACCAGCAACACTAAGTTGAATTCCTATCGGTCCCCCCTGGGCTATAGTAAAAACTCCTTAACGTGTGGCTATATAATGGATTATATAGGGGACTATTCTAGGGTTTCTAAGGGGATCATATTATGATGACCCAGATCATGCTTGCGAGGGTTCTTTCCCCATAGCGTAACCCCAAGGGTTCCAGGATCCAAATAATGGGGTTTAAGGGCCCAAATACTATAGTATTAATGGTATATGGAACCTAAGAACCCCTATTATTTGGGTCCTTGGACCCTTAAGGTAAACCTGTAGACCTTGAAGGTCCGAACCTTTGCCCTTTACACTGGGCCCACATTCCGCCCCGCCACAGGTCCAACCCTCGGAAACCTTTGGTTCCTGGATCCAGCTGAAATTAGAGTTTTGACCCCGGCTTGTAGAAGCCAGCTCGGTGTCGCAGACTTGTGGCCGCCAGCAGGTTAGTGAATGAGAGTGAGGAGTAGCAATAAAAGCAATAGTGTCATCGTAATAACACTAAACAGCATAACCATGATAATGCTAGTAAAATTAGATAATAGCAATAGTCATAATACCAATAGTATAGCAAGTAGCGAGTTTCCCGGGTTTAGGGTGAGGGTGTAGGGTTACGTGAAGCCCTGCCGGATCGTCCCTTCAAGTGGCATCCGAGATCGAAGCACAGCATATTCTTCTCCGTTTTTTGACGTAGCAGATACCTTGCCATTGGGTGATGCGATTTGTGTCGCTGGCACCTGCTGGAATACGATGGGCCATGCTATCCCAGTAAACGGATCTCTGCTTGAGCTACAGGATCGACAATATTTCGCAGATTTGTTCCATGTTTTTCTGTTCGGGACCATCTCCAAGTATCATCACAAAGCTTATGACCACCCAGGGAGGGTTCCTTCAATGACTCAGGTACTTCTTCTACTGACCTCTTCCCCCCTTACCCCGAATGACAGTTTAGGTATAACAAGTAGTCCTAAAAAGCATTCTTACAGGGTATGGAAGTACTTCCTCTTTGTCTAGCAAGGAATGAATGAACAGCTCCTGTATAAACATCAAAAAATCGTAGCCTCCAAATGAGCCATAATCTAAACTCCTTAAATGGGGTTATATAGAGGATTATATAGGGGACAACTATAGGGGATACTAAGGGGGATACTAGGAGTTTAGACTATAGCTCATATTCCTTTCGTTCCCTGATTGCTGCTATCAGCGTTGACAGTGGTGGAATGGTGTCGCGGGATTCACTCAGAATCCGCATCGCCCCTTGCAAAAGCGGCACAGGCTCAGCTTTAGCTGTTTACTGTTGTCTGCAGATGCCCTGGGATGGTCCGAGCTGGGCCCCATCTGTAGTGGGCAGTTTGGAGAATCATCTTGGCGTCAGGTTTAGGATCCACTAAGGACTATGTGCCTGTTTCACAGTGTTTTACATGTCATTCCCGAGCGCCACAAACCCTAGACTTTAAAGCCCGTGTACAGAGGCCATCTCCCCCGGCGTAGTATTTTCAGTCTTGTTTGAAGCTCGGCGCTGCCCACTCCAGCTCCCATATCTCAATGCTCTGAGAGCTACTTTCTCGGCAATGACGGCACAGTCTGCGGGCTGTAAGTGAACAAAAGGAGTGGTACATCACATGTTGTGGAGAGCACATGGACAGAACGGCAAAGAACAGGAACGTGACAATGGAATCTGAGAGCTTCAGGCTCTTGAGGGGGGCTACTTTGTGGTGAGACTTTTGAAGTGCTCACGATACTAGCGGTCCTGTTGTAAGGCGTTGCCTCCCCTGATTGATTGTTAGGGTGTAGAGTGTCGGGTTTAGGGCTTGAAGTTTGGGCTTAGGATTTAGAAGCCTTTGCTGGTGCCACCTATACTTGCGCCCTGGTTGCGCAAGATGCCACCTTGAGAATGAAAGTCGGCTTGCCTCCTCTGCGACATCCCAGGACCCTACACCTTTAACCGTATCAAGCTTGTAAACCTTACCAGTAAGGCCCTAAGTCTTCAAACCCATTTTCCACAGACTCATGCTTTAGAGAAAGCTCCGATCAGAAAAACCATTCAGACCCGAAAGCTTAAACCCTGGCCCGGCTACGCGCTCCAAGGCCCTGCACCCACCTCTGCAGCTTCAATGAAAAGAAAATGGAAACTACTACAACGGGTTAGAAAGGGATAATGGAAAAAGAAAATGGAAACTATTACAATGGTTATATACTACATTTTAGGGATAATGGAAAAAGAAAATGTTGATAAACTACTACTAGGGGACGGGAGTCTCTGCGATTAGGAGGATGGGGATAATAGAAGGCTGCTATCAATACCTGCAGTCTCATGGAAAGTACAAAGCCTGGTAGCTTTGAAGGGGCTTTTGATGCAAAATTGCCGCAACATCGCGTTGAGTAGGAAAATCCAGCTTCGAACGACGTATTTACTTGGATTCCTGTACTTTTAGCTGATCTCAATCTACTTTGGAGCTGCGCGCAATCTAATCTATGGCCTGAGAGCGTTACGTGAGCCGAGGTCGTTCTCACAACAAGGAACAACGCTCCGGTGGTTTTAAGGTATCGAGGTTCGGTGGTCAATGTCAACATGACAGGACGTCCTTCGGAACACCTTAGAAGCAATAGCCCGTACCACCGAAAACCCAGACCCAAACCCTCAATCCTAAAACCCAAAACCCCCAAATCCCTAAACCCTTAACCCCTCAACAGCCAAACCCCTTCTATGGCCAGGCCATGCAAGCGGCAAAAGCCCCTATACCCTGAACCCTAAGCCCTGCCAAACCTTGAGTGCGTAAGGTCTCCGCGGTCGGCATTGGCGTTGGACTGTTTGTGCCAGTCTGGTCTACGGATGCCATCTGGTCCTTGACCAGGGTTCCTGGGATGCAATTCCTTTAGGGTTTCGGCTTCAGGCTTTAGGGTTTAGGCTTGAGG